CAAAATATAATTATTTTTTTTTAATTATTGGCCCTATCGATAGTAAATTGTTCATTTCATATGCTCACTCAAAGACAGATCTGAATTTTGTCTAGAAATGTCTTTAAAACATTAGAAATAAAACCGTATAACCCGGCACCCATCGGATTTTAGCCCGATAATTCCGACTATCCCACCTTCGAGGGACGGAATGAGGGTTGGCTGTTTTTGTCGCGCTAACAATGAGGGACCACTTGCTACGTTACCGACTAACCCCGGCTTCGACTCCTCTCCGGACATCGTTGGACATGAGATTCAGACTTATAATAGTTCAGAATTCGCTCACATAACCGTGGGAGCTCTCCAAAAAGGAATATTTGTGTAATATTTCTTGTTGGTTTCATTGGGGAGTTATATAGATCTGGTTGTTTCCTCATTTTTCTTCGTTTTAATGCTGCTGATAATGTCATTAATGACTAAAACTCCCCACTGTTCCCACAGAACTGTTTATCTCGTGACAATGCCGGTATTTGAAATGCATCTTTATGGATTTTGTTTTATATGAAACTATGTTTTCTGTCCGCGTGTTCTTCTTTGTCTTTGTACTCGAAATTCACCTATTGCGAAGGTGTTTTCCCCTATTCGAACTACTGTCTCTTCTCCTAATCATTTTTCCTTCGCAATTGAATGGACGAAGTCGATAGCATTTCCTCCTTTACTAACTCACTCAAAGAAAAAAATTATTGTGGGACCTGTCCAGCACACCGTCTGCCCCCAACGATCGTTGTTTTTTAAAGTGCTTTTTCTTTCTTTTCTTTTTTTGATTTGCTGTGCTTATTACAGTCATTACCTTCTGAAACATCTTTCGACTTTCTTTGAAAGTTCATTTCGTTTGTGTTTTGAGTAGATTATTTTCTCAGTGTCGTAACCTAAGGCTTTATCTTTATATCAAACCTTCGTTTACATAACGCTATAACATTCAATAAGATGATGCCACTCTTGCTGCGTCACCTCTTACCCTCAGCGCAGTGGAAAGTGATCAACGTGACCAGGCTAATGTCACATCAGCTGATAATACAACAGTTATGTCACCTTTGATCTCTGCGAAAAGGACACGGCATGAAAACGATTGGAAGGGTAACAAAAGGAAGAGGTTGAAAGAACTGGGGATGCCTCTACCCATGTCTAGGCACGAAGCGAGCAGGGTGTGAACTTGATGTCCTTTGCAGTTGTAAACTGGTTGGTACAAAATGCAATGACATCACTGGTCACTCTCTTGGGGAGAAAAAAGAGCCTATGTATATGCCACGATAAACATGATAGACAAAAAGAGATCTTACACAGCAAGTGAAAACCCAAGGAGAAATTACAGCCTTCAATACCACTTACAAGAGTCAATGGTCAAAGAACACCTGTTTGTAAAATAATCTTCATGAACACCGCAGGCCTGACCCACGGGTTTATTTAAAGTGTCTTCTCCGAAAAGACAAACAAACAAGAGCCCCCACCCCCACCCCCACCCCCCTCCCAGAACACATCACGCCCACCATGAGAGAGCCAAGAATGACAAGTTGTTCCATAAAGAGGAATTTTTGACAAACTTTCGAAGATATCCTCCTGTCTCAGATGACAATCCAGAAAACGTCAGGTCTGCATCAAGTATACATGGAGAACTTTGCAGAGAGAGTGAAAGCCACATTGAGCTATCAACAGGGGCGAAGACTGACTTGTTTGACAGGGTAATCAAAGTGAAATGGGACCAGATAGGGCCTGTAGATATCACACAAGAAACTTACTCGAGGCGGCGACTCTGAGTTGTGAATGAAAACAAATCCGGAATTCATATTGTATGTTCAACCGCCAAAATAATCGGGAAAGTATCTTATCAAATATCAGTCCCCACTAAAATTAAACATACCTTTAGATGTGAATACATAAACATAAAGCAAAGAAGCAGAGATGTCAGTACTCGATCTATATGTTATAGATCTACCAGTGAGTCTAACTCTTTGGTAGAACATGACAATTATTATTTTTTAAATTTCACATTTGGCTGTTTTTGTTAGCCTTTCGCGGCCAGGAGCTGGTGTCATAATCGAGGTCACGATCTGATTATAGGACGGTAAAAAGTCGAGGAAAAAAACCAAGCACAAGCAGCAGTCAAGAGATTATTAAGAGTTAGTTCCCCTCACATTTGTGAGGTAGACTCGACCAGCGTTCGTTAGCTTACTTAATCGGGGCTTGTGATTGATTTTAACTGTGGCCCCAAAGGGGTGAACAGGGTATATGTGGCAATGAAACAGCTTTGACTGCCATGCACATGTTCCCTTCAACTCTATTCCAGCCTCACTTTATTTGTTGATTACGAACGTCTTTTGACATTTAATTTATGAGTTTTACGTTTAAGGATGAATTTGACAGCGACAATGTTTCAAAATTAGAAAGGGAAGCAGTGATTATTTGATTATATAGACGCTTCGCCCCTGGCTATCAAGTGTTCTGCCAAAAGTTCAAGAAAAACAATTTGGGTTTACTTTCAACCAAGAAAGACCAGTGCGACATTTGTACCAGCTTCAAATCTGGAAACCTCACAGAAACAGAATACACCCCTCAAATATGAATATGAGGAAAGCTGCAGCTAGAACAGAGAAGGAGAAGGACAGGGAGGCTGCACTGAACCCAGAGAACAAAGTGTGTGTCCTTTTTATGCAGATCCAGTGCGTCCTTCTGGCCTCATCACTAAAGACTTCCACCTTATATTATAAAACAAAACTGGCTGTACACAATGTTACGATTTAGGATCTTGCCACCAGAGACGCCAGATGATATGTCTGGTATGAAAGTGAAGTTGGTCTGAGCTTCAACAGTTTTCATCATGTCTGACTCACTAACTAATATTGCAAGTGACTGACTTCAACCACTTCCTCATCTGCAGTGATTGGTGCAATTACTAAAACAGAAAGCCACCCTGGTGAGTGCAATGGCCTCGCTGGCCAAAGAGCTTGACATCACAGTTGAGCAGAAATTCTCCCCAAGGGCCATACCCAAATGGAAGTGGATTCAGTCCATGGCACTATTGAGCGATCGCTAAAAACGCACTGATGTACATCCCAATGGACTACGTGAACATCATGCTCAAAGCCAGACGCATCCCCAGGCCCTATGAAGTTATGTACCTGGATCACAGCTTTTTCAAAGATTTCGCAACGGTCGGAGGGCACTAAACAATCCGTCCAGGGAGAAAAGCTGGCGATCCTACTGTCACTGACTTGCAGGCATCAAAGTACACTCCAGTCTTTAAAATTTAGTACAAGCTGAACTTTGATGATGAGTGGAAGGCGCTGCAAGGACCAAGAAAGCTGAACACCCTGTGTATGACGGTTACTGCTGGGCCTCTCTGCAAAGACAAATTGAAGATAACTACCAACCAGTATAAACATCTACTGGAGTTGAAGGCCGTCGTACCACGATGCTTCCACAATTAGCGTGAAAATTTGCTTTTTGAAAGCGATCAAGTCAAATTTGATTATTGTAGAGTCTTTCAAAACAATGGTAACTTTTATTGTATTGCCTTGTTGTAGCCATAGGACACAGAGTGAGACAAACATGCTCTTCTATTGTCGAGAAAACTCAATAAAGTAGTTGTCAAGCCACGCACCTTGGAGAAAGTTGGCGCATTCTTTGGTACTCACAAAGTCTTTTTGCATGATAATGATAATAATAATAATAATAATAATAATAATGATAATGATATATCATTAGGTAACCAACTTCTCCCAAACCATTGCTGAGGTAGCAGAGATTTTTTGTGGCTTTCTGCTTTCAATTCTTTCTTAGTATTACTTTTTCCAGGCCTTTGAATGGCCACCCAGTGCCAATAGTACCGTGTCAGACACGGTCATAAATTGCAAAGGCCTGCTGCTGCTGCTGCTACTGTTGTTGCTGCTGCTGCTGCTGCTGCTGCTGCTGCTGCTGCTGCTGCTGCTGCTGCTGCTGCTGCTGCTGCTGCTGCTGCTGCTGTTTTTGTTCTTGTTGTAGTTGTTGTTTTTGTTGTTATTGCTGTCGCTGCTCTCCCTTACCCTTCCAACCTCCTGTTCTTCTACTTCAAATGTAATTAATATACCTATTGCTGAATTCTGCTTCTTCTACTTCTATTAAATGTTCCAATTTGTGACTGCTGTTTTTGCCAGAATTGACTCCGTAGCACTGAAATAACAGCTGCTAATAGTATGTTGGTAGCAGTAATATAGTCCTCCTCCTCTTCTTTCTACTCCTCCTCCTCCCTTTTTTTCCTTATCCTCCTCCTTCTTTATCTCCATCTCCATCTACATATATGTCTTTCTATATATATCTATATCTATACATATGAATGTCTATCTATCTATCTATATATATATATATCTATAATCTATATATATATATGTATATATCTATATATATAGTCTATATGTATATATCTGTATATATATATCTTACTATATCTATATATATATATAATCTATATATATGTATATATATATTTATTTATCTTTATTTTGTTCTTTTTT